TATATATATATATATTCTCATTTGAAACTACACGTCAGACAGTCATGACCACATCATTGCTACAACAGAATGTTTGCTCTGAGCATATCATCATTCAGAGGTCTTTGGTTCTGGAGCAGAGCTCACAAACCATCTGCTGTTAGTACACAAAGCAAAATATATTTGTTATAGACGAATCTGCATTAATTACTAAGAAGCTGGACATTTAAATGGTTGCTTTGTTCTGCTTATTTTGAGTAATCTCAAACACTCTATTTTTAGAACTACCAAAGGAGAGTTTAAATAACTTGGAAAAAAAAAAGTCATTCATAACCTAATGTCACCGGTAATTATAGAAGGTAAAGAAGTTATGAGGTATCCTCAGCCCAAAATTGCCTTTTAATGATTGTTTTCCTTAGGCAACAGATAAATACATATCAACTTTTCATGCTCTGGAGCCCTAGCTTGTAACCCAACACTTCAAATAACTCAGCTTCCGTACATGGACAGCCATTCCATTGATGTCTGCACTGACGGATGCAGCTGTCGGGGAGGTGTTTGGGACAGTGTTTGTGCTGGTCTCACTGATGTAAATTTTGGAGGTTGGGATTCCCAGTGACCTGCTAGCAACCTGTGGAGCAAAGGTAAATGATTGTTAAGCAGCACTTCTTATACATGAGTATTATCATTCATTGCTTATGCTGTCAGGACCCACACTGAAACCTCTACCCACTCCCATCAAAAATTGTCATTTTCCCTGAAGACTTGGTTGGTTCCATGACTCAGAGCTAGCCAGAACACTGTTACATTCACGTTTCACATACTGAATGTGTGTGACCATATACACTTTGGCCACAATGACATTCACTTCACTATTGTGAGACTAAATTCTTCTCTCAACAGTTAGAAGAATCAGAGGATCGAGAGCCCTATTAGATTTCCTTTTCATTTCCCTGCCAAAGCAATGTTGCTCCCCTAGGTCTATTGAACTACACGGGCATTAGCATATGCAGATAAATATGTTTGCAACAGAACTAATTTTTGTATACAATGTTTGTAAACTGTGCTATTATGGGATGAAATGAAATTGACAGACAAGCTAGACTGTAAGCCTAACCTTCATTATCTACATAATAAGAGTAAAGATGCTGAAGAATCTAATTCTCCTAGTCAATTGTGACAATACTCTGAAAATCTAACACTGATGCTGAAACAACAATGAGGAATTAGTCATGATTTGTACCCTATGCATGCACACAAAGGAAGTGTCAAGCTGCCTGAGGCAATACTGTAGGATGAATGTAATTTTCCTGTAAAGCTATCTTATTTGGTTTAGTCCAAACTCATTATTACCTGAATCATTTTGGTGTGAAGTCCTTGACCCATCTCAGTCCCCCCATGTGTAAGTAACACAGAGCCATCTGTATACACATGGACCAGAGCTCCAGCCTATAAAAGGGAGCATTAATCATCATAAATTAACCAATGAAGTATTTAACAGACTGTAGAGAGAATTCATTTGGAGCTAGACTAAGGTTGTTCTTTAGTGCAATTAAAGCCACTAGTTTTGACCTGAGGTGAATTTGATTTAGTCTCACCAAATCACTGGAAACTCCAATGTGATAACAAACCTCAGTCAGCATTTTCAGCTCAGAAAGCAGGTGAAGTAACCCAAACCTGCACCTGTGAAACACAGATACACCCTTCACCTGAACTTGCTAACACCACCAACAGTCAATCACATCAGGTCAAACACAGGAGCAATATTTCAACTATTGAGGAAGAGGGAAGACAGGGAAATTAATAAACACAACACCGTGAAAACATAGCTACATTGTGGTGTCTTTTGGCCAGTATAAATGGGTAACTGTTTTGTTGCTCCTTTTGGCTTGAAAAATGTGTACTCTTTAACTAATTTACTATTTCTCTGAGAAGTTCTAGTTTGGTACAACTGGAGGAAGGCCTGGGGAAGGCAGCACAAATCCAGCTTCTCTAGTGAAAAGATTAATAACACTTCCACACCTGGTTCAGAAATGGGACAGTGAAACTGATGCCAAATTTGGTAGGAATGATGCACATCCCTCTCTTCTTCCAGCGGTTCTGCCTGCAAAGAAAGAACAAAATTCATGTACTCTTGAGGCTTTTATTACAACTCAGTGCTGTGCTTCCCTCTGACAACTTGGTTGTCAAAGCAGAAATGACACCTGAATGCAGTATAGACTGAGTTAATCAGTAATTTTTATTAAAGAATGGCTTTCTTTATGGGACCCAACAAGAAGAAATTCAAACTGAAGATGCTTCTCACAAGCATTATAGAGGCAGTTGTCTGGACTGTTAACTATTCAGTTGTATATACGAGCCTACTAGAAAGAGTATAACGCAGTGGAAAGCCTAAACAAGCTGTCCTGATAGCCATGTAAAAAGCCTAGCTGAACTTAACAGACCCCATGTCCTTCACTGCATTTCACTTACAAAATCATATCTGATTCCTGCCTTACTTATGCCACCAGCTCATGGATAGATGCTTCCTCTGGCAGTAAGCATGAACGAATTTCAAAAAGAGAAATTTTTAGAAATCGTTCTGTAAATACAAGGTCTGACTTCACATCACTCTAGTTGCTAAGAGAACTTCAGAATTTAGTAGGCAACAGGTGCACCCAATAACAAGACAGCTCCAGAACACCTACCTGTTGAATTCTTCGATTAGTTTCTTCCTAGAGTGATAGCTAGAGCTTGACAAACATTCATCCCAGCATCTTCGTAGAGTAAATCCCTCCAGCTTTTGGTTAAAATGAGTCAGGTCTCCTTCATTATAGAGGTTGAGCTTCCGCACCTTCCCAAAGACACATATAAAGGACATGCCAAGTTTAATACTTCAGACTAGGTCTTTTTAATGGGTGAGATCAAATGCATGTTGGTTTCTAGTTTTAATCCTCTGCCTACATATTCTGCATATCTCTGTTCATGGGTAAACAGGGACTAAGACATTATGGCTGGGAATTTTCAAGAGAGATTGGGACTTACACACATAGTTAGTAAGATTAAGGTACCTAGTGCCTTTGGACTTTTTTTAAAAATATCTATCCTTAAAGCAGGTGCTACACAGTTGAGGCTACTGAGGAATTTAACTAAAATAATCCATACTATACTGTGTCTGTCATACAAAAAGTTTGAGATCCTGCTAAGGGCTTAGCAAAAATGAAGCAGAAATTCTTATGCTTAAGAGTTTTCTGTGACTGTGTCCTGTTCTCAGAGCTTGTTCAAAGGCAGCCCCACCCTGAAACATGTCAGTGTACCTCCTCAGGTGGCAGGTCACACTTCCGAGCAAGGTCACTCATCCAGCACTCAGCAATCATCATTCCTTGGGGCCCTCCAAAGCCACGGAAGGCTGTGTTGGAAGGCAAGTTGGTCTTGCAAACAATGCCCACACTGCTGACATTGGGGATGTTGTAGGAGTTGTCCAAATGTAACAGGGCTCTGTCCATAACCTGGTGAAGAAAAGGATCGGAGGTAAAGACATTTTACATGAATCAGATGTCAGACTTCTCACTAGCTGCCAAAACCAGACTGAAAAGCTCTGAAGCTAATTTGCAACAACTAGCACTTTCTCTTGCACCCTGCAGGTCTGCAGTCAACACAGCTGGATAAGCACTGAAGTGCAGCCAGTACTGCCTCCCACGTGCAGTGGAGTGTCAAGTGGTATCCTCCTGAAGGACAGAACAATAAGCACACTTCCCTGTTGACACTTATGACTCTGGGAGAGATTGAACTTCAAAGTCCTTTGATGGCCTTGGGCTAATGCTGGGTCACAATGCTACTAAATGTCATTACCCTTCTGGAAGAAACAGTATGAGGTTTAGGTTGGATATTAAGAAGAGATTTTTTTACAGAGAGAGTAATCAGGCATTGAAATGTGCTGCCCAAGGAGGTGGTGGATTCACCATCCCTGGAGGTTTTCAAGACAAGACTGGATGTGGCACTTAGTGCCATGGTCTAGTAACCATGGTGGGGCTGGACTCGATGATCTTTGAGGCCTCTTCCAACCAGGTGATTCTGTATACTGAGTAATCTCTTACTGGAAAAGAAATTTTGCTGATATCAAGTGACTCAGCAGCTGGGCTATGACAGTAAGAGCAACCATATGAAATAAAGATTTTCAATGGCTACATCTGAACTGCAAGATTTGAGAACTTTGTCCACTAATTGTCCACATTGGGAAAGGGACAGAGCTTCTTTCTGGCTTATGTTCCCAGACTTCCCTTTCTGCAGAAGCATAGAGAGGAGGTTATACACATCCCAGCCTTATTTCAAGGTGGAGCACTTTCCAGTCGCCTGAACACAGTCAAAAGGACAATTCACAGATGTACTGTCAACCAGGCCCTCAGCTTATGCAAAGACACTTGCCTGTCGCTCTGCTCTGCATAGCACCAGCCACATTGCTAGCATCAAATGTGGCTCTGGTAGAGAGCTCTTGCAGTTCTGTCATATTGAAATTGATTCTTTTTTTGTGGAAAATTATCAAAGACTCAGGGGGCTAGAGAAAGTGAGCTAGACTAAATATGACTGACACTAGGCTAGGGAGTTGTTGACTCACACAACAGAAGAGGAGAGTTGTTTACTTGTCAGCACAAAACTTCTTGGAGACAAATTCAGAATTCAGGCCCATTTTTGTTTTTAGTTCTTGTGAACCCAATGTCAGCTTTAGCCAGTCCTTAACAAGCCTGTTGATTTAGGCACTCTGCCCTGATCAGCCTATTGACTGGGATGTTTCTTAATCCAAGGAAGAATCTTTTCCCAAAACTGAGGAATCATTGTGCATTGTGCAACAAGTTTTCCATCACAGCCCTCTGTAACGCAGAGCAAACATTCTTGACCCTTCAGTTTAATCTAAGTTATTACAGCAACAATAAGAATTATGTGGCACATGCCAAGGCAGGTCAGTTGGCTCAGAGAGTATTTGAAGAAGCTCCAAAACTCCTCCGAAGTCTGTTTTCAGTCATGTCAGAGAGTAGAATGTAGAAGAGGCAATGCTATAGACAGCAACTCTCTGAAATCAGAGCAAAAGGTGCACAGAGAAACATCTTCTGCCTAGTTAAGCCATCAGAAAATTTTACTTACGCCATGAGAGAGGTCTACAGAGTTGCCCCCATTACTGTAGTATGACACCTCCAGACTCTTGACTTTCCCATTCTTCATGAAACCAACCTGTCAAGAGAGTCTTCTCAGTAATCAGTTTTCTACAAAATGTTCCATTTCATGCTTCCCTCCAAAAACTGAATGGAACTCCTACAGGCAAAAGGCTGACTGTCCCCAGTGCACCACAGGATAAGCACAGACAGCAACTGAGGAAGCTCCCCAGTAAAGGGTCTATGCATGTATCTTAATCTTGCTCCAGCTAACTCTTCTAAATTAAGTGCTGGCCACTTGTCACAGCCAAAACTTAATGGGTTTTTGCTTTGTAAAGCAGCTGCAGTTGGATGGGGATTGAAGCAGAAAGGAAGTTAACAAAGCAAACTGTAGTACAATACTGTAAAGGAAGGGGGGAGCATCTAAGAGCAATGTGATTGCCAACGGGCAAAGTTGCAAGGAGAAGAGAATTATTTATGCTGAGGTCACAAGAATGGAACCATCCAAGCCAAAATAACTCCTGCAGGACTTTAACAGGGTAAATGCTATAACCCCTCCGACTTGACCAATTTGCAGCAAGGGAGATCAGCAGTGAAACAACAGTAGCAATTTTTTCATAGTATCTTACTACTCTCTGTATTTCAGGTGACAACACTAAGAAAACATGCATTCTTTTCATATGTATGCATACCTTGTACCTTCCCAGGAAGGGATGCCTCCCACCACTTATCAGCATGTCCTCATCTCGATCCAGCATGCACCTCACTGCACGGCCAGTTCTGTTAAAGGATATGTTTATTAGGCAAAGCCTGAAATGCACAGTACAGTTCCTACAGAACAAGACTCTCCTCTTTGTCTTTCAGGACTGTCATGGGAGAGTTAAGGGTAAACTGCTTGGTTTACATATCTTTCTCTTAAGAAAATGGCTAGATTGAGTTAAAAAAAACCCTAAAATTAAGATCTCAGAAGCTGGGACTTGTTAGCGCAAACTCTTGCAAAGATTCTTACATTAAAAGGAAAGATAATTTCTTACAGAGATAGATGCTAATAACTGAGCAATCACTGTTTTCCAGACTATTTCTCAAGGCAGTCTTTTGGCTTTGAAAGAGAGAATGCCATAGGAATGATATAATAATGCAAAGTGCTAAGTAGCCTTCAATTTGACCTTGTTTTTTATTTGCTAATTTATTATCCAAGGAGGAAAACAAGGAGGAGGGTAGGCATTGCTCTTACTTTTCTAACAATTTTGCCTTCCCAGTGCATCTCTTCAGGCTGTAAAAATATCTAGAGAATGTCATAGATGTTATTTTGCAACCTCTAGGATATCAAACAGTGGTTTGGCTGACAGAGATAAAGGAAAGAAAAGAATGTTCATGCATTACTGATTAATTAGAGAAAGCAGGTGGTTTGCTCAGAACAGAAAAAATAAAGCTGATTTAAGTACAGGAGCTTCATTTTGTCCATTCTCTTCCAAAGGCATTTTAGCAAATTGCTGTGCTGCAAGATCTCTCTACCACTTCCAGCAAAGTTCATCCTCACCTACAAGGGCAGTACTGGGAAGAGGAGCATTGCAGCCAGGGCACAAATGCCATCTCTGAGGTCATGTCCACTCACAACCACAGAGACTTGCAGTTAAAGATGAGCCCGTATCAAAGCCCCAGAAACACATTTCCAATGTACACTTCATAAAAGGTTACAGTCTAGGTTAATTCCCCGAGCTTTTAGGGATTTGAAAAGTGTGGGTTCAAGTGCCTGCCACCCTTCCTAGGGAAAAATCCAAAAAGAGTTTGCACCAGAGGACAGGAACAGTGGTGTAATGCTGGTGTAGTAGAGTTTTGAACAAGGAAGAGATTGTCATACCTCTATTATACAAAACATTAAACATGGTTAGTGCTGGATTTTGAAATGGCTTGGGGTGAAGAGGAGAGGCAGATAATTTCAGTTACAAGACTGTTCAGAGAGCACCAAAAGAATGGCAGAGTAAGGGGGTTTACCCTTGCCTATTAAAAGCTGACATTCCTGCATAAACTCGGTGGAATTGAGTTCAATTCCTTCCACCAGCTAAGAGCCCATTAGACATCTCCTTGGGAAATCCCAAGCTTGCTGTAAGCTGTACAGTAAAAAAACATGAAGAGTCTTGAAAAGTGCTCCAGCACCAATGGTATTCCAGAAAGAGGCAAGCTGGAACAGCCTGAAATATAAAAGCTCTGTTCCTCACACCCAAACTTACTTGAAGGCTGCAACAGCCACTACAGTTGTCAAAATAGTATTCCTAGTCTCTTTTCCTCCAAATCCTCCTCCCATTCTTTTCACTCGAACCACCACTCTATTTGAAGGGACACCCAGTGCATTAGCAGCAAACTCCTGCAGAACAGAACAAGAGAACATATAAGGAGCTCAGCCAGTGTTAAAATCTAGATACCAACACATTGCCTTTCTGCAACCATTGCAATAGTGCAAATATTCTGTTATGTTACAGGTCCTATGGTCCTGCAATTGGATTTGATGCAACTGGAACCAACAAGCCCAGCATTTTAACTCTGAGGTGGGAAGGCACAATGCTGCAGCACACAGCACCAGATTCAGGAACAGACTGACATGAGATAAGGTTACCAAGACATAGATCTCATTTAACACAGGGTTTGACATCCATAAGACTGTCCATTCTCCTCACTCTATTATGAGACCTTTGGACAGTCTTCATGAGTGAGTAAACAGGCCAAAGACACACCACAGTGCCAGAAACCTACCTCATAGAATGGGAGAGTTGGTATATGCAGTCAGTGTTTATGCCACCTCTCTGACAGGTCATTCAGCTATCATGCCTACTGACCAGCTGACACCTTCTCCAGAAAGGGCTCAGCATGTTGACAAAGATGTGTTGCCAACTGAAACATCTCTGTGGCCTAGAAGCAGACTCGGGACACCAGTAGGATGGATATGGACTTTAGATCCCATACCCAGCTCTAAGCCTACGTGTTTTGGTTTTTTTTTATTCAAGACAAGACAGGAGCAACTGTAAAACAGCTGCTTATTTAGTCTGAAACTGAGTAACAAATGCCTCTTAGGTAGCAGGTTAATGAGACAGTACCTGTGTCTTCATTGGATTTTGGGTTGACACAAAGAGTTCCATCTCACCATCTTCTCCCTTTGGCACAGCCAAAGTACAGTGAGTTTCCAGATAGAAATGCTCCTGACCACCAAGGTACATCTCTCCTAGAAAATTGAAAAAAATGCCCCAAAGACAGGGCATTTTTGGCATTAGAAGGCATCTCCCATCTCGTGCTGTCTGCAAGCTATTGTCCTTTTGACATATGTTAACTGACAACCCTTTGCACTGCCCAGCACTGGATACCAGTAGTCTAAAACTGACACTTTTGGTTCGATGTTTAAAAAGCCAAAACAGAAAAAAACCAAAGCAAAAACACAAAATGTTTTTAAAGATGTTTAAAAAGCCAAAACAGAAAAAACCAAAGCAAAAACACAAAATATTTTTTTTAAAAAAACACCACAAAGAAACAAAAAATTCCCCCAGGCACTTTCTAGAAATCTTCATTCCAAAACACAAGCGGCTGGCATTTCAAAAATAAGGCTGCACAGCATGTCATAGACCCAGCATCCCTTAAGATGCAGTATTTGGTGTCTTTCAAGAGTGCCCTGATAACACCGCTGAGATGAAGGATAAAAATAAATCAAATATAGTCTAGCTGAGCAGATCAAAGACAAGGTTACAGACTTTGAAACAGGGGAACAAAAATAGAAACCCAAAAGATGATCTCACTGGGAACCAACTCTCTGTCACTGTATGCGGCAATTTCCCAGGACACCTTACCTGGCAGTGCTGAGGGTACAATTTCCAGTCGTGTTGCACACTATTAAATGTCAGAATAAATCTCTTTTCTCAGCCATGATGCTGAGGGTACAATTTCCAGTCGTGTTACACACTATTAAATGTCAGAATAAACCTCTTTTCTCAGCCATTGCCCTGGTCTATTCAGCTGCCATGAAAATTAATATTCAGAGCAGTTCTCAAAATTCTGCTTTTCTCTTCTTTTTGTTCAATTCAGAAACAACAAAATAGCTGCCTTCAGTAGGTGAGAAATGCACATTTGCTTGAGACAACACCTACTCTGGTACATAACAGGGGCCTTTCTCTTATCTTCTCAAGGGGTCTTGTATTTACACAGCATTGCAGCCTTTTAAATAATGTATTCTTCTAGCTAAGAACAATTTCTGCCTGGTTTGGAATAGTGTTTTCATTTTGTATGGTAAAGTACATCATAAGAAACAGTTAACAACAACTTATGACACATTTGAAGTGCCAGTGCCAATCTCTGAGGGAATTATTAGCAATGCACAGCAAAATGCAACAAGTGACAGACCTGGAAATGCATATTTCACATAAATAAATCCCCTCTTCCCTACGGGGAGGTAAGGGGGAATCAATAATAATTGCTTCACACCAGGCTTTGTGTCTCTAACTGATTTAACTGCCCTCTCAGATCTGTAAGGGGGATGCAACACCTCTCTTCAATAAGTACATAGTTCTCCAAAGGTCTGAGACTCTTCCTCTCCTGAGCTATTGATCAGTGATACAAACCCCAGGCAATGACATGGCTGTGACAGACTACTCTAGTTCATAGCTATGGCACTCTCCCCTCTTAACTCATAGAGATTTTAAAACTCTTTCTCCTGATAATTGCTGTTTACTCATGTCTGTACAACCTGCTTGGCAGACTCCAACTGAATGAAACAAAGCAGCACACATAAAAAATCCTGTCCTCAAAGACAGACCAACAATTAAGGGTGAGAAAGTGTTACAGAGCAGTGCTACGGTCTTCATGATACCTACAGCCTAATGTATGCCCCATTTCCCTAAGATATAGTCATATACGAGACTAAAAGAAATCAACTGTCTATAAGATTCAGGGCACACTATGTCTGGACAAGGAAAAGCCCATATATGGATATATTTTAGGAAAAATATATTTTGTAGAATATTTGCTTAAGAAAAATACATCCTTACTTTGGAAGAGAGTGTTTACAGGGGCACAGCTGGGAGCATCCAAGTCTGTTTGAAACTGAATTGAATCTTGCAAGAGCTATTTGTATATAAGGTTGAAACTTAATATGAAATTAATTTAGTCCTGAAAGCCTTACTTTTGGTATCCTGTGCATAAAAAGGAGGCTGATAGCTTGACTTTTGTCACAAACTATACTATTTTAAAAGAAGTATTGATGCCTATTCTCACCTTCCAAAATGTGATCAGATTCCTCAAATCCTTTCTTCACATCTCCCTTATTAATCCTCTTAATAGGCTTAAGAAAGGATTGTTTCTCAATAGCTTCCTAGGAAACAGAATGACACAATGACAATTTTGTGGAAGCAGAGTGAAATCAAAGTTTCCTCTGACTGAAGAAGAAATATCCAATATAAAATGCACCATAATTTCTCAGATTCTAACTGTGGCAATAGCCAAAAGACTTGACTTAAAAGCAATACAAAATAATTCATGGCAACACAGCAATTTTGTAATGAACACCATAACGGGACAATCTTAGATTACCCTGTGTTGCTCATTTTACATTACAGACCCAGAGCCTCAAGGTTTGTAGTTGTAATCACAGAGCTGTGATTACAACTTATGTTAACTATTGCTAACATAACACCCAGAAGATGGTGGAGAGGAAAACAAAACAAAACAAACAAACAAAAACAAAAGATAAAAAGACAAGAGACAGAAAGAGAAAACTAAATATTAGATAGGATATGAGCTTCTGCAGAAATAGTTCACTTCTGAGCTATTACACAATAATCTTTCTTGGGGAAGTTTTACAAACATATTTTTCTTTTGTCAAAACTGAAGCTTTCCATAATGGAAAAAACCCCCACATAATGATCAAACAACAACAACAACAATTTAATTACACTTTTTTGGCTCCACTCTCATCTTTCCTGGTTGAATAAACAGCTAGAAGCTTCAGTAAAGAAAAAGATCTCATACATTGTTTGTGAATCCACAAATCATACAAACAACCTAAAATCTCCATCCTCAGATGCAAGTACCAATGTCTGTACAGGACAACTCACGGACTCTTTGTATTTGCATGAATTCAATTCACATTAAAAAATACATGGTAGAAAATACTGAGAATTAAAAAAATTTAATTAGAATTTCATGGTTCTAATTTCTCCACAATAAGAATGACTCATTCTTCACACATTTTTTTCTCATTTCTAGTTATGAATACTCTATAGATATTATCATTTGCTTTTACTATCTCATAAGAAAATCTTGTCAATGATTTTTCTAGTTAAAAAAAAAAAAGGCATGAAATGATCACAAATTGTCAACATGAATTTCTTCAGCTTTGAGAAAAGCCACTTAAGGGCTATATCCATACAGTCAGTGGAAATGTTCTCAGTGGAGAATGAATGCCCTTCCTGAGAGCATCCTGAGTATCAAAAACTATAATTTCATGGTTGCTGTGCCCCGAACGGCCTCCAACCACCACATCTCCCACCAGCCCTTCTCTGTTTGTGAACAAACTTAGAAACTATACAAGTGGTCTGCAGAAGTCTCAGAGAAGCAGTGCAGTGACAGAGTTAGAAAAGGCATTTATGCACCCTATTATTGACTGCTATAAATGAGAGAATGAAGAATGAATGAATATCAATGAAGCCAGGAGGTTCATACCAGACAACATTGAAAGCAAGGACCTGTGGGTAAGAATGCAACTCATATTAACCTTGTTAATTTAAACAAATTTGTGCTGAGCACAACTTATCTACCCAAGTTTGGTTTATTTGTTTCAACTATAAATAACACAGAACAAGTTAATGTATGCTAAATCAGTAGGACACCAATGGTGTGTCTTCTTTATATTTATGTATGAATTATTCTTTCTATCCATATCCTGTTGCACCCACAAAGACAAACAAAACGTATGGCTAAATAACCAGATGTGTGAGAACAGGATTAGATATCAGGAAGTCCCAAGCCAACTGCAGATGCAGATCTGAGCCATCTTACCTGAATAGTGACAATAGGTTTGAGTTCTTCATACTTAATCTTCACAGCTTTAGCTGCTCTTCTGGAATGTTCTTGTGTGTCTGCAAGGACTGCCCCAATGATATGACCAACACAAGTGACCTACAGGCAAGATTAAGACCCAACATCATTTGGTGTCTGTATATACGCAGTAATTGAGAGGTTCACGATAATTCTCTGTATCTATTCCTTTTGTGCAGTTTTTCATCTGTTTATTCAGACCAGTCTATTTACAACTAATCAAGGGGAAAACAATCACAAACAAATTTGAACAGCAACTGAGTGAGTGAGCCTGTCCCAGTGGGCTGCAGCTTAGAGAAGAACCATGCAGATAACACAGAGGAGAGAGGCATGGGTCAAAGGGATTCAGGCCTTATCAAATTCGACACCAAGATTTCTACTGACCTCAGTGCAGTTAGAATTTATCTCTGTATAAAGTAGAGGACTTTGCTGGACAGTCTGAAAAATTTTATCTCCTGAGCAGCAAGATTGTAAAAGGCTATTTTTAACCACATACCACATCCTTAGCAAAGACAGTCTCATCATTAGCGATGCCAGTAATGTTACTGCCAGGAACATCCTTGGCGGAAACAAAACACACAAATCCAGGAACACTCTGAGCTTCAGAAGCATCTATAGAACTAAAGAAAGGAGAAGAGATAGTGTTATTTCCCTCTTTTTTGTGTGTCAGTGCTTATGAGGTTCCAATACATATTCAGGCCTGGTTCCCTGAAGTTTGGCTGTGCAAAGGAGAAGGAATTTGTCACACGAGTATCATGTGAGACCAAGGAGAAAGGGTAACATATTAGACTAAAATCATTTGGGATCTATATGATAATGTGAATTCCAACTCCTCCCACTACATCAGGTTGCTCAAGGCTTTATCCAACCTGACTTGGAACACTGCCAGGGTCAGGGCTTCCGCTACCTTCCTAGGCAACCTGTGCCAGTGTCTTACCACTCTCACAGCAAAAAATCTTTTTCTAATATCTAATCTAAATTTCCCTTCTTCCCATTTACACCCATTGCTCCTTGTCCTATCACTACAGTCCCTAATGAAATGTTCCTCTCCAGCTTCCCTGTAGGTCCCTTCAGATACTGGAAGGTTGATAGAAGGTCTCCATGCAACCTTCTCTTCCCCAGGCTGAACAGCTCCAGCTTTCTCAGCCTGTCTTCATAGGGAAGGTGCTTTTAAAAGGATGCAAAAGAATGACACTCCAAAGGACAAAAAGCTTCATGAAAGCAAAAGAGTTAGTTCTCTAACCAAAAATCTTGTCTGCTTGAATCATATACAGGTTGAGAACTCAGCAACAAAATAACTAAAAAACGGGCAATATAATTTTTATATGGAGGACTTAGTAAGGAATGTATTATGAAAGACTTTCAAACTCCTTCTGAAATATTCCATACATTGGCTACGTAATTGTCTTGCTTTACCAGGGAACAGTTGCAAATAGATAATCTGTGGCTTTATTTTTGCTAACTGAATGATTTATTGTGTTCTGTAAATTGCTGCAATTTTTTCAGCAGCTTGTTTAGATTCCTGATACTCCTATAAAAACTATGCCTGAAAATAGCTGTTTATGCATCCCGGTGAGACACAGACTTTTTCAAAAAGACCTTAACTGTATGAATGAACTTTCCCACATGAACCCTTAGACAGCAGGAACTGAAGACAATGCTATTTTAGTCTGGCAAGTTCTCTTTCCCATGTTATCTGCAGTAATGCCTCAGAAACAATCCCCTGACAGCTTCCCTTTGTTACAAATACCGAGGCAGATAATATCCGATTCACACTTGATGGTCAGAATCTGACTTGGGTGAAATGGAAGTTTTCAGAGTCAATATTTTGACTGTCAAAAGCATATGCTGAGATGCTTCTGTTCCCTAATTAAATACTCTACTACTTCCTCTACAGAATAATACAGGCTCACGGCTTGAAATATGTGTGCAGCAACTTGTAGAAAACACAGTGTACTGTGATCACAGGCATGGATCTGTTGCTCTCTCTATCACCCCATCTGCAGTGGTCATAGTCACAACACTTAAGCATTTGCAGCACTCAACAATGACCACAATGCAGCACCTAAAATTTAACTATGATGACAAAGTGATTTCCTTCATAACCTGTGAGTCAACTACTACATCTGTACATCCGTGACCACCATGCTGCCCAGCCCACGTTAGACCACTGTGGGAAACCTCTGAACAGGAAGCCTAAATAGGCACGAAGTATTGCCTAAGGAATGAACAGCACATTGCAAGGCTATTGAATATGACACAAGGCAATGTTACACAGTGTCCTGTATCAAAGCAGTTGAGGGCAGATGAGAGCCTTCAGAGCCACCACAATGTAAACACAATTAGGGTTTGTGGGGGGCAGTCAGTCCCAAAATATGACAGCACTAAAACTCATATGAGAATGTAAATAGCATTACCTGCCAGGATTGGCTTGTTAGAGTTGGTTGGTCACTATTGTTTTAAAATATGTATCAGTCATGCCCTGGATGGACAAGATGTTTTCAGAGGCAGCTACACTTCCAAATACTGACCTATCCACCTTGCTAGAGCCAAGCACAAACAGCTCGACATCTAATAGCTGAAGCCAACTCACATACAAGTGTTATGCAGAGGGCTTGATTACAGCCAGTGCAGGCAAGCACCATGCAAGGCAAAAACCAGAAGACAGTGTACACAGCTGACTCACCAGCAGGAGTGCTCTGGCAGAACAACCTAACATTTTAGGCAGATAAGAAACAGAATTTTCAAGCTGTATGCTCTAGTTAGTGATTAAAAAGACATCTCAGGCACTGTGGTGCTCTCCTACCCTACTCCTTTTTAATCCTGCATGCTCAAGTATAAGAGATGGGACATCCAAGAAGGTTGCCTAGGGCAGAGGGCTTTGTGCTTCAGCAAAGCTCCAAGATTGGTGTTAATTCCCTTACATTCCCACTGATGCAGACTTGTAAGGCAGCTGTAACACATACAGATCACCTCCATGTAACATTGTGCAATGAACTGGAGTTCCCACCTAAGCAGAAACCTTTCCCTCACCCACAACTTGCCAGATGAATGTTTTCTATGCCACCAGGGTGCTTCCAACAGCTGAAACTCAGAAGCAACACTTACAGGATCTTAGCGTGGGCTTTGGTGCTGGTCACCAGAGTTAGATACAGCTCATTCTCATAGTGAGGGATGTCATCACAGTAAACAGCTTCTCCACTTGCTTGTTTGGCTGCTGAAACATGCACCAAAGGCCGACCCACCATATCTTCAACTGCCTGTCCCCTGGGCACTTCCTGAAGTAAAACACATGGCTGACTATTGCTGGCTTAGACTGCAGGAGACAGAAGCATTGATAGGAGAGCAAAAGGCACTGTGAGACATTCTAGTGAGATGGGGAATGGGATGAGGACTCAGTCCTGTGGGAAAGGAATGCCACAAGATGTGGCTACACAGAGAGAATGAAGTGAAGAGGATTTAGGTTTTGAAATATCTATGGAAGAGAAGGGTTGATTTGACAGCTTGCAAGGTTCAAGCTCTGAAACTGGCTTCTACTCTTAAAGCTGAAGAGAACAGGTCACTAACAGAGAAATAAGAAAAGATATATCCTGAATCTGAAGACTGAGAGGTGCAAAGAAAGGCAGGCTGTAATTGGGGAAAGCAGAAGAGGAATTTCCATTTGGATATGGAACTGGCTGCAGGAGGCAAAGCAATTTTTATGAAGCTGTACATGTCAGCAATAGTCTTGGGCAATAATAGAATAATAGCCTAAAGTGAGGAAGGGACTGAGACTCAAGTACAAGCTTCATACATGGCATTATATAAGTTCATGTAATGGCCATACTCAGGGAGACAAGAAGATAAGAAGCATAGTTTGAGCTACAGAAAAACCCATGTCTACATCATGCCGATATTGCTACTTACTTGGAAGAGCTGGGCATTTGCAATGGGATCTTTGTGAAACAGCTCGGTAGCACTGACGTAGTTTGGAGGGATGGGTTCACACAGATTTTTCTGCCAGAGATATATTAAAGAAAATCATCTTCCCTGCCAATTCCTTTCTCACACTCCCTAGTAGCCCAGGATGTTCTCCATTCTCCATCTTCCAGTTAAAATAGTTCACATGCTACTGTGTGAAAGGCAAACAAGGCTCAAACTTTGGGCAAAGAATAGCCACAAAACCAGAAGGCTGGTGGTAATGCAACAAATGGGAGAAGTCCAGGAATTATCCTGTGAGCCTACAGAACAGCATTCTTCTACAACTAGTCACTGTTATGCAAGCAAGGAGTAGAGTAGCCCTGGCAGCTATTGCAACATGGATTCTGTTATCAAGTACAACTCTGCTCAAATCTGAACCCTCCCCATGTCTTCCCCACCATGACAGCACATACAGGTCCACCACCCCCAAATCTGCCTTCCCTAGCAGCACTCACAGTGCCACTGTGGTTCTTGCTCAGTTTCTGAAGGACTGTCAGGTAGAACTTGAAGAAGAAGCTGAGCGTGAGTGTGCGTCGGAAGTCCACCATCCCACCAGGCGCAGAGGGAGACAGGTCCATCTCACCTGCAAGTAAGCGGCAGGCATCCTGCAGCAGCTTCTCATTCCAGTCTCTGCGAGGGAACAAAGGTGGCAGAGTCCTTGCTCAGCCCTAAATATGACCAGGGTGGACTAACTATTCTGGTGTAGAATCAGAATATCCTGAGTTGGAAGGGACCCACCAGGATCACTGTGTCCACCTCTTGGCCCTGCACAGGATAGCCTCAATAATCACACCGTGTGCCTGAGAGCATAGTCCAAACACTTCTTGAACTCCAGCAGGCTTGGTGGTGCCATCACTTCCCTGGAGAGGCTGGTCCAGTGCCCAGCCACCTGCTGGGTAAAGACCCTTTTCCTAATATCAAACCTAAACATCCCCTGACACAGTTTCATGCCACTCCCATAAGCTCTCCAGCAACAGCCACCTGTTCTATCTGTTTATAGGATATGTGTGAGCTTTGCTGTCCTCTTAGGCTCGTGTCAACTTTTCTAAAGATATGGCAAAGCTGTTACATAATAACAGCACAGATTTCTCAGACCAGTTTGAAAGAGACCCAGTTTTCATAGGTCATGCCCACATCTAGTTTCTGTCCAGCTCAAAACATAAGTGAACTTGGCAAGAAGATGGCTCTCTGAATGAGAGAATGACATGAATTTCTGAGGGTAAGGAGTACTGGAGGAAGCAAGACATTACACAAAACACTGCTAAGAGAAGTGTAGCCACACTTCTTCCCCTTTCTCCTTCTGTGGAGAGGAATTAAGGTATTTGAACTGTTCCTGTAAAAATCAGGACCATTCTATTAGCCAGCCTTTCTATCAGAAAAATTCCTACCTGCCAGTGAGCTCCTGGCAAGATTTTAGTGCCAGGACAGTTGTAGGAGCCATTCCTCCATAGCTTAGCTTTAACTCCTGCACTCTGCTAGTGCCCTCTTGGAACACAACTCTCATCCCACAGGTCACAATAGCAATGTCATCCTCTCGACGGGAAGCCTGCTTGAAAGCTGAGAAGTATTCACCCTAGAAGACAGGAAAATATTTCTTTATTCTCTACCTTGGCATGCTTTGGAGTATAAATATGGACAAGCTGTTAACCTATCTCTACATGGACGAGCTTTTCCAAGGGACAGTATCTGGCTGATTCATCATGCAGGGCCAAACACAACATGTTTGTTCAGGCAGCGCTGTGCCTTTTCACATGACTCAATGATTGATTCCAATGTATTAGGTCCATGGGTATTAGCCAGCCTAGGACTGTGGGGGAAATGAGTGTTGACAGAGATCTGCTCATATCCATCACATTTTTAGTTTATCTTGAGAGGAAGAACTGGGACAGATTGTTCATACACAAACAAAACTAGTTTCTCAGCAACTTTTTCTTTCTCCCAAGCTGCTAAGCTGGAAGCCTAATCAGGAAAACTCATATCCTAAACCCCTTCCCTTCAGAAGTCTTTGAACTCTGCAAAAACTGAAATCAATAATCACAAATGTGTCTCAGTTCTAGAATAGACCAGAGTAATTAATATAAGGTAATTCCAATCTGTTACTGCAAATACAGGCCTCAGTTACTATCCTGAATCTTCTGCTGATCTCCACAGAGAGAGGCAATTCTTGGAAATGCACCAGCAACTACAACTCACAAAACCCAGCTGCTCTCCTGTTAACAGTGGCAGTAAATATGAGATTAACACTCTACTGAGTAAGGCTGACACCTTTACCTTACCAAGTAAGGGTGTCAGCCTGGAGTCACAGTATGGTCAGTCCCCTTGCCTATCCTGCAGTTTAGGTCAAAGAGCTGTTCAGGCATCCTGCAGACTAAGAGAGGAACCAGATCTGATGTCTTTGCACAGCCCTTCTGAAGTGTTTCCCAACATCTTTCTTGTTTAATAGCTTAGCCAAGTGGCTCCACACAGCACAGCACTCTGTTCCATTAATTACTTCTAATCAGAATTGGACAGATGATCTTTTATTATTGTAGAAAAACACCTATTTCTGTGCTGTTGACAATGAGTACAGTTTCTCAAGAGGTCTATTTTGTGCATTGAGGACTTGTTACTGAAGATATAACTGAACGGTGTGCTTCATTTCCTGAATTCAAGTAATTATTCAGCAGCCTGCACATAATAGCAGAGGAGCATCAGTAGCATCCTCCCACTGCCACTCTGCTTGTTAAACCAATTAGGTTTCAAAGAGGAGAAAGTGCAACCTCTTCCTGAATACTTCAGAGATTTTGAATAACATAATTGCAACAAGGGGGCAATATTTGCCTTCACTCCTCACAAGAAAACTTGGTTTTCTTGGTACAGAGTCCTGTGGGACGAAGGGCACTCCCTATGTTTCCTCACTAGGAGTACAGTTAAAGTAACCATCACATTGACTGCCCATGTCTGCCCCAACTCTTGGTTAAACAACAGAACATATCCCCTCTAAACAATCACAGTGACCATTTGTAGGTATTTGTTACTCTCACAGGAAAACCAGAAAACCTTACTCTCAAAGGCTGCATATTAAGGACCTAGATCAGCACCCCGTTCCCCTTTCTGGACAAGATGAAACTCCAGGAAGGAGAACATTAAGAAATCATCAGGCTCTAAAAGATTCATAGGCAACATACACAATTTCTTCAGCCCATCACCATGGAATACAAAGATCAATAATGAATAAAGGTTGGAGGACACTAATTAAAAGGATGAAACAATCTTTCATGACCACTTTCTGACTCTTCAGCAGGGCAAAAACTGCAATACTGTGAGTCTGTGATTGCAATACCGAACAAACAGTAGGTTAAGATTAATTTCCAGAGATAGAATTATCTAGTAATTTTGTTGTCAGGCTTTTTATGTTTGAAAACCAGTAAATGTATAGGTGGTATACAATACTATTATCATAAAAATTAAGTAACGGTGGCAACTGCGATAGAGAAAGATGTATGAAATGGAAAGGATATCAAAAAACTGATGGTCACTAGGTGAGTAATAACACAAGCTGTGCATAACATTTGTGAACATTATCTGAAACACAAGGAATGTTTTTATAGTCTAGAAGAGAAAGAGAGTTGTTAAATAAAGGATATGTCCTGTTCTAGGAATGCCTTGTTACATAAAAAAAGCTAAGCAGTTTTCTTTTCTGGAATCTGTTTATATTATATATTTAAGCCAGAGAGCTATTTTCTTTCCTAATACTGTCTTTGCTCAGCTGTGATCCCCTTACAAGTATAGTTTCAAAAATCTATATTCCCTGATTATCTTAAATATCTGACACACAAACTAACAGGTGTTACCTCCTCTCCCTTAACAGCCTCTCTGTGATTAAGCCAACCCTGAGCTCAGACCTCCTACCTGAATTGTATAAACTGCTAAATATCTTTGGTCTAATTATTTCTGTTTGGCTAGTCCTACACTTGGCGTGACAAGTTACATCAATGCAAGGCATAACATCAGTTTTAAACAAACATAAGCCAAAAAATTCTCTGTGTGTGCTGACACAGCCCTGCTTCCATTTGTGAGGAAATCACAGTTGCAGAAAACTTTGCCTGCCACATGACAGCACCTTCAGACATGCCCCAAAGAACTTTAGTCCTCTGTTTGTGAGCAAAGATCAGACAAGAAACTGTGAAGTAGAGTTCAAAAGTTGCTTTAGTGTTTCAGATCAATGAGCTGCATATAACCTAGGGATGAAGACATTCCCCTGCTTGCAAACATTTGGTTCTTTTGCGAAATTGCCATATGGCTGTCATAAAGATGGAGGAATATGGTGTTTTCCATTAGCATGTTTGTCATTTTGGCAAAATTGATGCTTCCTGCAATTATCACAAGGTCAAAGAAGGATCACACAGAAATAGATGGAAAACCACCATAAATAAAATGGTCCTGTTCTCTTAATAGTTAGATAGCAAATCAGAAGGGACAGACAAATGATTTATTGGTCTATCCCATAATACAGTGGCATTCAAGTAAATCAGTGTTTTCCATTTATAAAGAAGATATGTCACTACACTGTGAATCCTTGCATCTTATAACTTGGGGTCTTGAGCCATAAAAAGTTAAATACACCCATATCATTCACAAGCATCAAAGTACGGTCTGAAATTCTCAGCCCTAAAGTGGAAAAAATGAGTTTTACCTCTTGGACACTGTGAATCATTTATGGTTTATGCTGCTACAGAAGAGAAGCATTCATTCTTCTGTTCTAAGGATGTTTTGCAGGCTCATTGAAGTTGCAAGTCCACATGGCCAAATGCCCTATTAATCAGTTCTTCTGGTTTCTGTTTTGCAAGGCAAGGATGCTGAACCTGAACTTCTCTTTTATCCATACACACTTTTTACTATTTTTTCCTCATTTCAGTTCACAGAAATTAAGCAGGAAACTTGGGAACATTAACTTCACTTTATATCAGGAGCTGCTGCAGTATTTTTCAAAATGAACTTCTGGGAACATCACTTTGTCACCTTTCATCATTACTGAATGCACTCAAAAAGCTTCAGACAATGAATTGAAATTTGTATTTCTTGCTCTAGAAAACTTACTGGGCATACCATACTTTACCGTAGAGCTCAGCTCCCCTTGTTTATCCAAAGTAGTGTGTTACTAGAATTTCTCCAAATAATTTACTTGCTGCTTGGTCCCCTTGGGACTCCATAAGCATTTGGAGGTTGATCAGGAAAAATGTCTTACATTGAAAATAACACTCGAATAACAGCTTTTTAGCTTCACAGTGACTTTTTTTTTTTCCTACAAGCTTACCTTCTTGCTGTATGGTATTTCAACAGAGAGAAGTATTTCTTCAGGCTTAACTATTGTCTTCCTGTAGCCAGTGAAAAACTTCTCATCCATCACGATAGTCCTTTTGCCCTCTGTAGAGCAGAGAGAGATCAATGGCACATGAATGAAGAAGGGCAACAGTATGTACAAAAGAGCCTTCAAACTACACAAGTCACTCAATATGCTACTTGTTTTCATTTTTCCATCCTCTTTCACCAAATCAGGAGGGATTTTTGCAGATTTAATTTGGTACTTATTGAATCCATGACAGCTTCTGCCTACATACAAAGTTTCCTTTGCACAGGAAGTGATCAGAGACCTCCTTCCTTCTTTATCTAATAATAGCTGAGCCTCCAGGTGAACCAGTTTCCAACACCCTAATGAAGTCCTCTCTGTCTCCTTTCCATAGCCTGCACACAAATCAGCACAAAGGAAAGTCAGTTCACTGACCAGACAATCCACTTACTTCAAAGATTCTATTTCAAAAAATTCTTCGTAAGAGCAAATAAAAACTGAGACATTTGTCTTTTTTCATAGGAAAAAACCCACTAACGAGCCAAACTAAACCAAACCACATTTCAGTCTTTATCTGCATGAACCCTAGGGATCAAAGTATGATACTGACAGAAACAATTTCATTCCTATTGCTTTTCATTAATAGACATCTTCAACCAGCTCTGCACAAGGACATATCTGTAAGTACATATGCATTACCAGAGATTCAATCTGGCACAGAAGTATAAAATTCTTTAGGAAACAAACCTTAGGCCTAGCCTTAGGACTTCAGACAAAAAAGGGCAAAACCCCTGAAGACTCAGTCTAAACATATTTTATGTAATGTTAAATTCCACTTTCAAGTTCTTAGCTGATCTAACAACCCATGGCTGTTGACTATCTCACTCTGCTCAGTGCCACAAGGAAATGTGAGTGACTTACCTTTTGATACGAGAGTCAGTTTGCTTCCACTTGCCATTAACACAGGATTTAAGTCAGAAATTGGGCTTGCTGTCATTATGTTCCCACCAAGAGCCTAGGGTAATAATAAATGCCTCAGGTAAATGTTAAAAAACATTTACCAAAGAAAGCCATAGCATCTTGTAGTCCTGCATTACTCCATGCACAGTACACTAGGGGTTAGCACTCCTTGAGTTGGTGCTGCCAAATTATTTTTGCTCACTCAGCATTTTTAGGCCTTTAATGAAGTAGGAAAACATAAACCCTCTGAAGTCACTTGCTGTCCCAGTCAATACTAACTTTTGCCTGAAACAGTTTCAGGAACAGTATTTCAGTAATGCATCAAAACTACCTTATGCTCAAACCTCATATGCACAATACCAAAATTCAATCACACTAGCTGCCATTAAGGGAAGAGCCATAAAACTATTCAGCATCTTTTCTGTAACAATCAATTTTTTTGCCTGCAATACAAATGTATGGCATAGTATCCTGTGGCACAAAAGTTCATGTTTGGTAGGTTTGTTTAACTGCTTGCTGGGTTTTTTTCTTTAGT